TTAATATTAATGGCGATGTATATGTCTTGCTAAATTTTGCTTCCTTTGCTAAAGGGTTGCCTAGAAGGTTTGTTCATCACATTCTTTTTACCATTCATTTTGCCATGTCTCAAGTACTTCGGTGGACAAACTGTCCATGTTTAGATGATGTGGAGAAATAGTGGATACTACCCATGTGAGTTGTTGAGCCTATGCTTTTTTTGAGAGGGTTTATTTGTTTCTACTCTTAAACACTTTTCAATTTCTTTCTTTAATTTTTATGATCTCTTTAACATTAGTTTGCATTGGGTACTAAAGAACTTTAATATATGTTGGGTATTTTTTTTCATTGGGTTAGACGGAACTATAGAAACGATGTTAGGCTATGCATGTTTTCCACTACTAAAAGGCCTATTTCCTACCCTTTTGTGTGCTCCATTAATCCCATTGAAGCCAAACATTTAGCCTTTTCTTTCATCACCCACATAAATTCTTATCCACTCTACCCTATATTAGCCATACCATATAGCTTGAGAGATACCAAGGTGATACCATAAGAAATCAAGGTTGAGTTCTACATCAAAGTAGTGGCGTGTACCGAGGTTCCATGTGTCTTATTATTATTTCTTGTAGTTATTTCAAGAGTAGAAAAAAAAAAAAAAAAAAAAAGGAAAAAAAAAAAAGTGTCAAGAAAAAGAAAAAGAAGAGAAATTGTACTGAATATATACCATGAGTCCTAGAGGCCACAATTTATAGGGAAGTCTAGCTTATTTGGAGAAGGTTGATACCTATGTTCTTAGTATTCAATTCCTTTCATGAGATATGTTTTCAGAAATTGCTGTTTTTCAATGTTGATCATATGCGATTATATATTGATTCCTTTTGCATAAAATCATCACATATGCTTGTTAAGAGAGAAAGCCTAGGTTCTGTGAGAAATTTGAGTGACATCTAGTGAGGCTTAGAGTCGAGGCGAATTTGTACACACACCAAGTGTGGAGGTTTTTAAGCCTGAGTGCTTAGGATGTTGGCTACACACTTTCCATTGTGATGCATTGACTTATAAGGGCATAACTTTAGTTTTGGAAGTGTGATTGGCATGCATTGGTTTTCATTAATTGATGGAAGTGATAACTGTAACACCTTTGCTTTTCAGTAAAGCGTTTATGGGTAGCGTAAATTGTAAACCCTCAAGAGACACAACTCCTCCGACTAGGGACACATAAGGGTTTAAAGGCTTGTTGCACATGCTCAGTGCAATCGTTTCACCAGCGAAAGTGGGCTTAGTTAAGTTTTAGTTTTAGTTAATTTTATTTGTTTTCATTTTATGTTTTGCTTGAGGACTAGCAAAATACAGGTTTGGGGGTATTTGTTAGGTTGATTTTATATGCAGGTTTTATACCTCTTACACTTATTATTTAGTCATGATTTTATATTAAATTTATGAGTTTAATGTGTCTTGTGTGAGTTTTTGTAGAAAAGATGATTTATGAATAAAGCAGGGAATTGAACGCTTAAATTAGAGAAACACAAAGAATTACCGCATGGGATGTGAACTGATGGGCTGGAACAAAGAATGGAACATATAGAAAATTGGATCATTAAAGGAAGCCCAATATAATTAGGCGGTGCAAAGCATGCGGTGATGTTTTTCTCAAAAGGAATTGGGTTTTAAAGATTCCAAAAGGCACGTGGATTAGTTAAGAAGAGGAGGGGGATTTTAAAGAAAACAAAGAAAGGGCACATATAAAGGAAAAGAACCCAGCGCCACAAGGAATTTGGCGAGAATCATATCACGCACACTTACAGACTACCAGTTTTACAACTCCACAGAGGCGTTTTACAACTCCACAGAGGCTCCAAGATTTCCCAACGCATCCACACTCAAATACAAAGTTGGAGTTCAAGATTTATTCCATGTCATCGAATTCATCCATGTTTGTCATTAGTTTACTCACGAACTAAGTCTTTTTGCTAGGATTAGGGTGTACTCTTATCATGAACATATAATTCTCGTTATTTTATATTAATCTCAGTTATTTTCCATGTTGAATAATTGTTATTGTGCTTTGTCGTTATCAAATAACTGGCCATTATTTGTGTGAAGAACTAAATTGTGACTAACATGTTGAGTTTAGTAGATTGCTTCTCATAACAATTACCGTGAATTACATAATTGAGTAGACCTACTGGTTATGATTTGTGTAGTATCATGTAATTATCCATTTAGCATAAAGGGTTTTGATTATCTATATTTGTGGCTAGACATAGCATTGGTAGATAGTTAGAAACATAGTTAGTATATTCTGATAGGAAATATTGACGAATCAAGGGATAATTGCTAGCAACATGGGAATAATTTGATGTTAATATGAATAACGGGATTAGATGGGATTGAGAATGAGGAACCTGATGTCCTAGTGCTTCCATACATTAATCTTTTATAATTCATTCACTTTTGCTTCATGTTCGATCAATTGTTATTTTTACTTTTGTTTTGTTTCTTTGCATATTTGAAGTTGTCAACGTAATCCTTCTTTTATTTAAGTTTAGCTTGAAGTCAATCTCAATAGTAAATTTAGGATAATCCTATCCTTGTTTGAACGACATTCTACTTATTACTATATTACTTGGATGATATTGTACACTTGCAATTATCAACAACAGACGCATAAACTCTCTTTCGTCCCCAAGAAGGGAAATATATGCCTCCCCATGTGTACCAAGACATACCTGTGGAAACAAGTTCCCATACTCAAATTCAAGAAAATCCTACAATCCAAGGGTCTGAAGCCTTGCCTGGATGTGAAAGCCATAACACTGACACATTGGCTATCGAAACCACAGAGAAGTCGGTCGCATCAGAACCAGAAATCAAGCAAGCAGCTAGTATCGAAGCTAATTGTTTGAGGAGACTATCAGGGGTGAGAAGATCCTCAATCACATGACAAAAATATAGAAACTGACACCAGGTGATTGCAGTTGCAATGCCCTCCTAGGTCGCACTGTGCCTAAATCATGGAGTTGTTCGGCACGAGACATGTAAACAACGAGTCATATAGCCCATGTATTTTCATATTCTACTCTTGGATTCATTTATTCATGTACATGGGAATTTTCTTTCAAGTTCACCCCATTGATTTTTATTTTTAATTTGATTTGATATATATATATATATATATATATATATATATATATATATTTTTTTTTTTTTTTTTTAAATAAAGACAATAATTCATAGAAGAGCCGTGGTGACACCCAAGATCCATACAGCCAAACATCAAATCATGTCTTGTTTCGCTAGTCAGAACCCTATCCCAATGCACATACCTCTAGCATTGTGACCTAAAGAAATGATAACATTTGCAATGAAGTTTGCTTCTTGAAGAACTTGGATCCAAACAACATAATCAAACGAAGTAGCCAACCATTTGATATCTTAAATCATCTTGGGCTCCAAAAAATACAAAGAAGACTTTTGAAAATTAATCATTTATCCAGAAGCTCCAGAAAAAATATTAAGGACCCTAAGGCCTAAGGATGCTACGAGCAGCTTTAGAAGTAGCTTTACCAAAAACTAAATAGTCATCAGCAAAAACCAAATTAGGCACCCTGAACCCAAAAGGAGAAGATAACACACCAATGTGGTTTCTAGTCCTTGAGGCAAGCAGATTAAAATGCCTAATCAAAGGTTCTATACATAGAATAAAATGTGAGGAGATAACGGTCACCTGCCTAATACCCCTGGAAGGGTAAAAATAACCTCTTACAACACCCTTGATTAGTAAGGAGAAGGAGATAGAAGAAATACATTTTATAACTCTATAGATCCAACCATCATGAAACCCAAATTGTTTTAAACTACTTCTAATAAATTGTCAATCTAAGATATCACAAGCTTTTTCTAGATCAAGTTTAACTGCCATCTGTCCCACTTTCCCTGTTTTTTGTATTGAGGCTAGTGAAGAACTCATGTGCAATGAGGATATTATCATAAATTGATTTACCTAGTGCAAAGGCTCCTTGATTATCTAACGAACGATTTTTTAATAGAGGTTTCGGTCTTTTCTTAATTATTTTAGTAATTATCTTATAACCGACGTTACGCAAACTAATAGGTCTAAAATGATCCACAGTTTTAGAATTATCCACTTTAGAGATCAAAGCAATGTTAGTATGATTTATCAAAGCAAGAGTTTAGCCATTAGCAAAGAAATCCTTCGCTAAGTTGATAACAGGACTTTTAACATGCTCCCAACAATCCGGAAAAGACGTGGCATGTGAGCCATTAGGGCTAGTAGGGGTGTTAACACTTCCATTGGATCTAACAACCCTTTTTGTAAATTCAACCCTTTTTGAAAGAATTTTCTGGTCTACAAACGGCCAATTCAGATTGTTTTGATGAAGTGTAGAAATTGTTGTTCCATTTGATGTGTATGTGATTTGGTTAATGCTCGTTTATGATTTTGTATGATTAACATCATATTAAGTTATTAATTAGTTAGCAATTGAGCAATCCTAAATACATAAAAACAATGAAATTGACAGAAGCGACATAAAATAATTAAAATGTCACACATGACACAGTCTGATGAACTACACAATTTACTAATTGAAGTCGCACACCAAAATGCAAATTGAGGTATAATCCAAGAATCACGTTGTAATTAACCACACTTTTAGTAATTCACTTCAAATTAAGAAAATTATATTAATTTCACTTAATTAAAGTTATCTTCATCTATAAATTGTAAGCTGTAACTATAGACTTGATATTCGACCTCAAAACTTCCTTCAAACGAAAATTTCAATTTGCAATTTTTTTTTTCATAGTACGTACCACTTAGCAGTTTAAAATATTATCAATTAAATCTTGTATAAAACCCGTATCGATGAACTGTACATACCTTTGTATTTTGTGTGCGACTTCTCTCACATGTAGCTAGTAAAATTGTTGGTCACAAAAGAGAGAGAAAATATCTTTACAAAAAGAGTTGAAGGCTGAAATTATCAAAAGTCCATATAGATTTGACCGCCTCTCCACTTCATTTCTGGTGCTTTGCTTTTCTATCAATCCCTTCGAATTCTACGCTTCCATAAAACCCCATTCCAATCCACACCCAAACCCTCAAACAGGGAGCAGTTGAAGCTTCATCCATGGCTGACCACTCCGATGACTTAGACGAACTCCTCGATAGTAATACAAGAAGCTTTTGCTTTTGCTCTCTCTCTATCTCTCTCATCATGTTTTGATTTCACCTTCAATTGCTCTTTCAGGTGCTTTGGATGACTTCCAGAATCTCAACCTCCAGAAACCCTCCCTTCAAAGGTCTCTCTTTCCCTCCTCCTCTCTATCTCCTAAGCTTCAATCTTTACTAATTACTATGCTATAATATTACAATTTCCGTGCTTGTGTTTCTCCAGAATTATCAGTTGGTACTGTGTGGTAATTACGAACATCGCGAATCGAAATTCTGATTTCTTGGTTCCGAAGCAGTTTATAACTCTTCATAAATGTTGTCTAGAATTGTTATCTCATTCAACATTTAGTTTTCGATCCTAGAAAGCAATCAAATGATGGGTGTTTGTAATTTCCCTTTGCCCAAATTGTGCAGCAGCATTTTCAACTTATGTAGTTACGGATATAAGCAAAACCCGTGAAGAAAATCGTAAAATAAGTTGGGCATAATGGATTAGATACTTGTAGTACTGGAAATGTGTGAACTTATGCCACAAACTGAGTATTTAGCTTTCTTTTACTTGTCATAGAAGTAAAGAATCTACAGAGGACAAGAAAGAACCTTCCTTGCCTGCTGGGGTTCAAGGACTTGGCATGGGATTACCTGAAATAAGGGCAAAGAAAAAGGGGAAGCAAAAGGTTTCAGGAGAATCGCATGTTTCTGAGGCACTTGATAAGCTCAGAGAGCAGACAAGAGAAGCTGTTAAGGGACTTGAATCCGTGACAAGTGCAAAACCTGGTGGAGATGATATTGTGGACGATGCAATGGTGGAGGATTGGGTCAAGCAGTTCGAGAGTCTTGCTGGGTCTCAGGTAATGTGCTTTGTGCTTGTATGAATTACATTTGTTTTTTTTTCTTTCTTGTTTGGGTTTTTTCTCAAGGTTTTCTGCTTATTGTTTGGTTAGGTTTAAATGCAGTTTGAGCTGTTATTGGTTTGCAAATTGTATTTCCGACACAGTTATGCATGATTTTTGTGAATACCTGCAGTTTGATCTGTTAACCTCCTTTTCCTTGGAAAATTGTTTGTTTTAAATTTTTGTAATGTACGGTCTAACAAAATTTTGTTTGCAGATGGTTGTGTGTGATTATGATCCATGTCTGATTTTAATTATGTTTCTACGGATAATATTGATCAATTTCTGGTTTGGTAGTTGTAGGATTTCAGGTTATGATAGGCTATCAGTAAAGAATATAGAGTCTGTTTTCTGAATTTTTATGGTTCTTGCCCTAAGTTTTGGCCATCTGACCTGGACTGATACTTGGATTGGCAATTGTCTATGGCTCACGAAGCCAGATTTTCCAAAAGTGAAATTGGTGCCAAAGTCTTTGGAACTGGCCTTAAAATGCCAATTAAATATCATATGAAGGACCAGTTGTACATTGGAGTCGGGGAGAGAGAATATTGAAAGATAAATTTTGACCCTTGTCCTTCTTTTTACGTTTCTTGGACTAGTGATTCTCTCTACGTGAAGGGAATATGTCTGTCATCGATTATGCCGAAAGGTTTGAGGAATTTATGTTCAGATGCAAGTTAACTAAGGACAGACTGATAACCCTCTATTGTATCAGGATGAGCTTCCACCATTTTACCGAGATTATCAGTTGGTACTAGAATTGGATTGTTACGTGGACCCAACCACATGTTATCGACTTGATACTTGTGAAAAACTTTGGTGGTTGTTTTTCTTCTATGACTCATTTGCTTACTTCTTCTAACGTCTATAACTAAAACGCAGTAAGTAGTGTAAGCTCTAGTTCGAACTTTGAAATCTAAATATGAGGTGAATTGTTGAACATGTAATGGCGTCTGACATTGTTTGAGAACAATGTCTGGATACATTGGTGATCTTCGATTATAAAGACACTCCTACTGCCTTTACCACCCAAGAACTAAAATAGACACTGTTCTTATTTGGTTTTTCATCAACATCATCAAATCACTAAGTAGGAGAAAATGAAGAGGAATTGATGAAGGAGAGCACTTTTCAAGCATTGTTTCGATGTGATGGTCCATTTCACATTCTGGTTATAGACAACGGTAGTCGTGCCAATATAATTGTTGAAGATATTGTGACCAACATTGGGTGCCTACTAAGCCCCATCCAATTCTGTGGACAAAATAACAAAAATCTCAAAATCCACTACTGATATCTGGTAGTTTATGTATATTGTTTTCTTGTGTATTATATTCTGCATAAACAAATTCTTTCAATTCAGTGTTTCATTTAATATGTTTTTTGGTAATCTTCGTATTAGTCCATCACTCAGTTAGTGGCTCATGCATTGCTTGAAAGAAGTATTTTTAGAAATTAGAAGTTTTGGTTATGGTTTCAACGACCATTATCTAACTTTAAAGCTTTTGGGTGAAAACAAGTATTGTTTTCATTATCTCCCGAAAGACAATCTAAACCATACCCGACCGACGAGTATATTTCTCAAGCGCATATGCCTTGTGCTTTTGAAACTGTCTATAAAAAGTCATTTTATTTGTTTTAATAGCCCTGGAAGTAGTCAAACTATAGTAGACCTAGATTCAATGATCCTCCAATTTTATCTTTGTACTTTCCATGTATTTGAGACTATTTTACTTACATATGCAATGTTGGGCTTTTGAGTTTTGCAAAATTTGAGCTAACCTGGGTTCTAAAGGTGTCATATTTATCAGCATAATAATCTCCTATATCTCTGTATATCTCCTTTTAAGTGTTAGGATCTGGTTTATAAAGAAATGCTTTACTAAATGTTGTTCATACTTGATAAATATGTTTTACCTTTTACCTTCCTCCTCGATGCTTTGTCGAATTGGCCAAACATCTATATGTCCAACATGTTGAATAAACCCCTATTATTTGTGTAGGACATGGAATCTATTGTTGAGACCATGATGCAGCAGCTTTTGTCTAAGGATATTCTTCATGAACCGATGAAGGAAATTGGAGAAAGATATCCAAAGTGGTTGAAAGAGCATGAAGCAAGTTTGAGTAAAGAGGATTATGAACGTTATACTCACCAGTACGGACTCATAAAAGAACTTAACGAAGTCTACGAAAAAGATTCTGGAAACTTCAACAAGATTTTTGAGCTCATGCAGAAAATGCAAGAATGTGGCCAACCACCTAATGATATTGTGCAAGAGCTAGCTCCTGATTTTGATCTAGCTAGCCTTGGACAACTGTAAGTCTTCTCTACTGTGTTAATCATGAAGATCTGAATCATCAGTTCTTATGCAAATTTTAAATTGCTCGTACATCTTAAATTATCTGATTACCACATTTTCATTTTTTGTATTTCGTATGGAATACTGTTGTTAGATTTTATTTATTTGGAAGAACAACTGTTGGTGCAATCTTATCAGGAAAATGGTCTGATTACATTTAGTGTTAAGTATTGGAATTAGCGAACCACTCGGTTTTCAGAGTTATTCAGATTCGGAATTCTAGACCAATTATCGGATATTTATGCACTGCTAAATCAATAGGAGAAGATTGCCTCTTCTGTAAAGCTGTGAGACCTTGAATCTGTTCTGCAGGAGAAGACACCGAGATTGAAATTTTGAATAGAAGATTCTGTTTGGAGCAAATTGATGTTCTGCACGTTTATTTGTCATATCAAAACTTAATATGCACTGTTATGTTACGAAGGACAATCAGATAGCTTTCTTCTTGGCTACCATTCTACTAGAATTGCATGTCCGGAAAATTAACTCAGTTAGCATGCTTTTACCATCAATTTGCACAATTTGTTTCGAAATATGGTGCAGTTATATCGATTGATGAACATTGCTTTCCTTTGCAGGTCTCCAGAGATGCTGGAGTCTCAGAAAAATTGTTGTATAATGTGAGCAAATGTCTTTCCCCGACTACCTTTCATATACCCATAGCAGTTATCCCTGAGGGCGCACAGTTATTTGGTTTTCAGAATTTGTGCAATTGGTTATTGCCTATTACAGTTGAATTATGTCAAAATCTATGAATTTTTTGAGCTGCCCAATTTCAGGCTGTGTTGGGACATAAAAGCTTGTATAAAATCTGGGGCTGATATGGGAGGGAAACTTTTCTATTTGTTTGTTGGTCTTTGGATGTAGCTTTTCCCATGTTGTATATGATGGTTGATAAGGGAAATGATTTTTGCCCACCATTTTTCATATCTTGCACACCTTTTTCTTTTCTCGACCCATTTAATTAATAAAATATAAGGAAAATCATGGACTCGAGTTGCCGAGGGGTGTGCAAAACGTGAAAAATGGGGGGGGGGGGGGGGGGGGGGGGGGGGGGTGGGGTGGGGTTGGGGGGTGCAAAAATCACCTCCTTTAGGCCATCTCCAACGGAGAGGGCTGTAAGTCTAAAAGTAAAAAAATGATCTGATTTGTCAAAAAATTCATCTCCAACCAATGGTTAGGCTATAATTCTATGAAATCCATCAGGCGCTTATTTTGCCAAATAGGCATCAAGTTAGCCAAATGTAATCCTTCTCTTAAAGAGAATTTTTTGTAAGGCTATAATTCTGGACGGGGTTCTATTTAGTTCATTCGGATGGAGATGGCCTTATACCACCCATAGATGTCGCAATCTGTTGAACTATAGTGTCCACTTTTGCTCCATGATACTCGTGTAACCTGTGTAGTAACTTATTTACTTATACACATTTAATGTCACTACATTCCGCCATGAGAGGTTGAGTGGCAAACACTATTCAGTTAAAACTTGTTTCGTGTTCCACTCTTTTATCAAAACAAAGTGTACGTGGCGCAACTTATTTTAACTAGATAGTAAAGTAGCATTTTATTCGCGTCGATATAGTTTGTTTGGAAACTAATAGAGAAAAAATACAAGTACATAAATTAAACATTATATTTTCCAAATGAGAAAGGGCTGAGGTTAGATACATGAAATGAATAAATACAATTGAATCGAATACATCAAAGAAATCTTAATACAAAAGCCTTGGAGACTTGGAGTGCAAACAATATTACAAGAATTGAATGAATGAATGAATAAATTAAGGAATAGCAGAAGATATAGAAAGCAAAAGTAAAAGCTTAGGCATCACCGGGTGCGATCCAGTGCCTGCCATTGACGAAGCTCTTGGCGAGGAACGGATGAGCCAAGTCGTACTCAAGCTCCGGGGCACATGGCACCCCTCGCAGGGCTTCTGCTCCTGGCCCCCAGCACTTGTACACTCCCAGATACACACTCCCACTGCATTCCAACAATTACTTTAGGTCAGTTGGGCGGGAAATTCAAACTCGGAAACTCAAACACAATGTAATAGTTACGAATGGTATGACATATGATTATCTTGCTTGTTAAAGAAGAAAATAGTTTGGGTATTTTGTGAGCATTATCTGAGACAATCACGGATGCGCTCACATTTACATAAGTGATTCCTACTGTTATTGCATGTTTCATGACAGTTGTTAGTCACTCACGCAATTATGCTCGCGGGTAATATTCCCTACATTTTTTTATTTTTTATTTTTTCAGTATCACCCGACAATCTTTTTGAATAGCTGGCATTGGGTGTAGCCAAGTCATGGTTTCACCTCAACTTTTTTTGAGCTTTCTACGGCCTTGTCTTGTTGACTAAATTTGATGCCAACAATGATCAGGAGCCCAAACACTCATAATTGAGCACATAACCAAAATATAATGGGCCATACAGACATTCTTATTTTCAAAAAGACAAATAAAAATATTGTTTTCTTAATCAATATTTTAAATTATTCTGATCTAGAATGAGAGATCGAAACTCCAATATAATGGATTTTGATCTCATCCGGATGAGGATTTTAGAGATCATCATCTCTTATCCGTTTATCGTACATCGTGCAATCAAAAATTATTTTTAATTTTTTTATTTAAAATTAAACACAAATATTACCTAATAAAAACTGATCGCACGATGTATACTGAACGGATATGACGAGGATTCTCACAATCTCATCCCAATATAATGAGACGAGTATATCGACCTAATCAACTAATCTAACTTATATATGCACCAACTAATCAACTAATCAAACCTGTAAGAAATTATGGCAGTTAAACAGAAAATAAAGGGGAATATATAGTTAATTACTTTGTAGCAGTACTTCTTGTGATTGTGTTGTTCCAGTCATCCCAGGCACCGTGTGCAACCACGTCATCAAAGTAGGTGTATGAATATACGATCCGGGAGTACTTCCCCATGGCCCGACCCACGTACAATGGACCCGTACCGGTAACCCGGCAGTTCAGGAAAGCGAACCCTGACTTATCATCCGGCGAGTTCCTGTAGTGGGCTGCAAGGGACCCGAACTTGGTTGCTATCGAGTGCAGCTCACAGTCCTGTGTGCCAACAGTAAAGCTGTATAAGTCAAAACAATGATAGTATATGTTGAAAAAAAAACAGGGGTAATTTGGGATTCACTGCATATATATATTCACTTGGATTTGTTCTTGAGATTAATCATTTTGTTCAATACCTTTTAGTATGGTGTAATATTCAACTTGAAGCGTGGTTATACATGTTATAACTCAAGAATAATTTAGGCTCTCGGCATCACATCACTTTTATAATTTTATTCAAATTTCTTTGAGCAGTAAAATACAGACACATTTTAATGTTAATTATTCACACCAACGCTAAGTGACTAATGGCAATAGTTACTCTTGAACATCTAGTTAGTAGTTACATGCATCTACGTGTATGACTATCAAACGTTGATTCGTCATTGAGTGATTAATAATTGTTGATTGGTGTAAAGCTTACATTGTAAGTATTCGATACCTTAATCCCTGGCTTTACATGCATGGTAAATGATGAAACTGTTGCCAGTAAAAGATAAGATAAAAATGCTGAAGAAAAAGCAAGCTCACTTTTCATGGATTTATGTGCACCCATTGACATCACTGTCACAAAAGATGCTGCAGTAGACACGCAAACATCTTTTTCTTTTGACAGAGTGACAATACCAAGGTGCATCTGCGTCCCAAAAGGAAAAAGTCACGGGTTTTCGTATATCGTATTGATCTAAATTATTGGCCGGAGCACAATTAGACAAAGTGGCATGCATGATTCAAAACACTAATTAATTTACGCTAATTGAATAACTGGATTAATTAGCTAGGTATATATGTATAACTTCTTACCTTGTACATGGACCGACCATTCCCAAAAATGAAGTCTATGGAACCCTCAATGTAACACTCCTTGAAGTAATGGCGTCCTACGTCGTCACAGAGTGTGTCTTGGGCGCCATAGAAGCCACAGCCTGAGAAGTACGCCTTGTCGCCGGATATCCGAAATGCCACCGCTTGCCATCCTTGCATCCCCGGCATCGGTGCTGGTGCAGTATTCTGCAACCAATAAACCAAGATCAATATTACTAATGATGCATGCATGCAATCACTTAAAATGTATCTGGTTTTTAAAATGTGGCCTCTCTATTGTTGCACCGTAAAATCTGAGGTCATATATTATTATATATGGGCGTGTTTTGTGCTATGAAGTAGCTAGCTACGTATACACCTTTGTTGTTACGAACCTTGAAGCTAATATTTCTGGCAGAGAAATAGTTAGCAAAGACAGTAACAGAAGCCGTTCGGTAAGTTCTGAGCTGCTGGCCGTTGGGTCCAGGGTCACTGGCACGGTCATGCCATTCGATCACCGTCGCATCTTTCCCGGCTCCTTGAAACGTGATGTAAGGCTTCGTCGCCGGCACTACCACTTTCTCTCTGCATTAATTAATATTGTTATTCTTAATTCTTATGATAGTCTGCGTGCTTAATTCTATATGTAATTAACTTACTAAGTTTAAGAAGAATTTTAATATCAATGTTATTAACAATTATAATTACATGTAACATCCGGGCTTGATTAGGATGACAACATTGACCGTGTTGTTCACCGGGACCGCATTGACGGCGGACTGGACAGACTGGAAGTCCCCGGAGCCGTTCACGTCGACTGTGATCAGGCGGTGGCCGCTGGGTCCAGCCCACTTGTGGTGGTGCTTGGAACTGCTGCTATCGGTGGCAGGGGTTGGTGACGAGGTCATGAGACTGCTGCGGACTAGTACGTGAGAGCTTCTCGCTGCCGTCACAACTGGCACTGCATGAAACAACATTAACAAAGTAAGTATGTTGCACACCAAGTAGAAACAAATGAATGATAACACAAGAGAATGCGAAGCCATTGAATTGAATCCAAAATTATTGTAGTAAAAAATATTGAGAGAGAGAATGTGGTGGAAGATTGCTCTCTGAGTTATTAGATCATGCGACTGCAAGAGAGCTAGGAGGTATGGAAGAAATGAAACTGCTATATATATATATGTATATCCATATATCTATGCAGAATGCCAAACATACAATTTTAGCACTTTTTCCAACGGTCATAATTTTAGAGTTGCTTCGATCGGTTGCTTATGCTAAAAAAAAAATCCTTTGGAATGGATAGGTACGTGGGTCAACATATTTTTGGCTTAATTTTCATGGACAAACCCAGCGGTGAGAAAGATACCTCCTAATCAATAGTGGCTACGATGTGTCTAAAGTCTCCATCCAGCTTGAGGAATCTAGCTAACTCACTGTCTATTTTTGTTGTTGTCAAAAGCTATACCCTATGTCTGTAATTCATGAACTATGTGATTTTATTTTATGAAGTGAATATTAGTATATTGCACTTGGCTCGAGTGTTATCGCCATTTCTTTACGTAATGTACTAATTTATAGTTTATAATTTAGGAAAATTAATGAAAAAGACTTGAAAACTTTGAATTTTAACGATAAGGACAAAATAAATGGTAAAGTGAATAGTACCAGGTTTGACTTTTTAGTGTAAAAATATTATTTTTCGTTAAAGTAAATAGTACTGCGGACTTTTCGTTAAAACTTCCTTATAATTTAGGTGAAAGACGACCTTAACGTAAGAAAAGGATTGATTTAGCGTAAGAATGTTTCTAGTGTAGACCCTAACTTGGGAAAAAGAAATACGGTAATGCCGATCAAGATGAATGTTATCTTATCTTAAGAATATTTTCTTGCCACATTGTTTGGCACTAATGCTAATGTTACCAGTA